ATATATATATAGACACACACACATACACTCAAAATTAAATTGTAATTTAACTTTTTATATTTTTATTAGAGCCTATATTTATATGCTATCTTAGAGACGGTGTTAAATCCTATTAGAACTCTCACATGTGAATATCTTAATTTTAATTAAATTTAGTTTGGACTTGACAAAAATTTAAAATTCTATATAAAATTCGGAATTTAGACCCTTTTTAATTAGATTTAAGACCCTTTAAGATTTTCACATCTCACTTGCAACTCAATGAGCCCGTTATTAACTCTCTAATTGAGTGACATAGGATCCAAAGTCCAACAATTGAAAATGCAACATAAGTCAAGAACATAGGAGGAAAGTTTGTTCCTTTCTTTTAATGTAGTGATGGAAAAGAGGATGATATGTACCCACCAAAGGGATGATTACTAGGTTTTGGTATGATTAAGTGTCCAATAACTTAATTAAAAATTATTTTTCTTCAAGTTTATTTGTAAATCACATATATTTTCAATAAATAATTTTGTATGTGAGCCATACGAGCTTATAACTTTTTCCTACATTTTAACTACTCATTAAAAGAGAAAAAATCATTTCAAATAATCACTTTCAAAGAAACACTTAGCCCCATTTTTTGAAAAAATAGATTTTGTAATAGTGATTTTTTGGAGAACGTGTAGTTAAAAAGTATTAAAATGTTTTAAATTTACGTAAAAATTTATTTTATTAGAAAAAAAAGTGTAGTTAGAAACAAGTTTGGGGCAAAATGAGTTTTTAAATAATGAAACTTAAACAGAAACAAAGTAATATTCAATTTTTTTGACGACGTGATTAACACAAAGGAAGGCCATGATTACTAAAAATATTCTCTTTGATATCCATTCTAAACTATAAGTTGAAGTTGAAAGAAATAAATACCGAATACATAAGAAAAAAAATTTTTCTATTCAGAAAAAGATAAAGAGAATAATTTTATTTACAAATTCACAAATAATTAAAATGAAGAGAATATATATTTATTTACAAATAATTTTATTATATGCAGAAATAAAATATGACAAAATCACTACATAGAATTAACATACTTTCTAGGTGGAATATTTTCGAAACATTGCTAAAGTTAGGGTGCACTTTACCTTTGTACTTTTGACTAGAAACATTGGAACCTACAAAAGTTACTAGCTATTATCTTTTGTAAAATCATTTAATTAGTCTGAAATTCAAATTCATCCCAAAGGTCTATAATCGGGGTGTCAAATCCGGTGTACATGTAGAAGAACCCTGTGCTTATATATTAAACGCAACAATGAATAGTTACTAGATTTAGGGAAAAAATTCAACAAAACTTCATAAATTATCTGTAATAGTAAATGCATGTTTAATACGTAATACTGAACTATATTAAATAATATAATATACAAAAAATTACTTTTCCCTATCCCAATGAGCCGAAACCAAAGACTCATCCCCTCGTGAGGAATGTTCAAACTATTTGACCCTCTATCCATTCCAATATAAAGAATTATTCAATCAAGTGGAAATTATGCAATTAGTGTAATCCAGTGAAGTCAAGAGCTAGTTTCAATATGATAACCTTTTCCTTTTGTATAGTCCACTCCACCCCAAGTGGCTTCGTAATGGTCCCCATTATTCCTTTAATTTGAGGGAAAACTCAATTTTGCCTCATTTGTGGGGACATTTTGCATCAAAATCTTATCCATTTTTTCAGATTTTCAAGTCATTATTATAAGTACAAGTTGACACTACATTTTTATGGAGAAAATGTTTTGTCTTGTCAAGTTTATTGGATGACAACTATGTGCAAAATCTTCTATTCCTTTCCTTCTAATGTCTGATTTGGACAAACCACTTTTATTGTGAAATTCATGTTTAGGTTAGATAAAATTAAATTTTTAGTAAATTTTTATTAAAAAAATTAATGAAATATGAGGTTGAAAATTTATGGATTTCATAAAATATGTGATTAAAATTAATTATTAACTTTAAATTAAATTATAATTTAAATTTGAAGTTGCACCAAACAAGGGCTAAATAAATTGAAAATTAAATTCAAATATATATGTATACACACACATATATGTATATACCCTGTTTTTAACTTCTCTCCAATTATCTATAATTAAAATATCAATTTTACTCCTAATTAATTATTTCATTCATTTTTTACGTATGGACTATGCTTTTATTTATAAAATTTGAGATTTTAATATATGTTATTTTTTCCATTTTAAAATAATTATAGCAAATAGATACTCTTAGAAAAATATTCAATAATTTAAACTATACAATTCTAATAATAATACAAAATCATATCATTATAATCAATGTCTAAATTAGTAATTTACACATACAAAACAATAAATCATTTTTCTTTACCAAACGATAAAAATACTGATTTTGAATACATTCGACAATGTAGGAACAAAAGTTTACAAAACACTTAATTCAATATTCCTACAACCAATTCTTTTCATGGTACATCAAAAGTTGATTCTCTTAAAAGTACAACAAACAATTATTAAGTCTTAGACGCGGCGATCAAGAAAGGCATCTTTCCAGTTGATATATTTTAAATCAAAGCTTAATAAAAAAAATAAAAAATTACTCATTTTCAATTGTATTTATAACTGTCGAATCTATTATTTATGAATTGTTTCCGAGTACAATGGAAATGAGATCTTTTGACTTTCGCTATAGTAAGCTTCCTGGATGGATTCAAAGCATCAAATTGCAACAAGCACCTCGAGCTCAAATTGAAAAAACGATAGATTTATCATATTTTTTTGAACCAAAGTTAGCAACTGCAATATTTTCTTTGGATTTAATTTGACTTTGACTTTACATAGAAATTTGAAAAAGACCCAACTTGGAAAAGGGCTGGAGGACAGGTGGCAGATTAATATCGCATGCCACGTGTCATGCATATCTCAGTTGTTCAGGCGGACATCAAGGGTATGTCTGTTTTTCAGTTTGGTATATAAAACAAAAATAATGGCCCCTTAGTTTCCCTCTCAATAGCACTGTTCAAATAGTAAGGTTCATAAAACAATAAGGACCCTATTTGATTGTACAATTTGTTCATAAAAGTGGGAAATTAAATTTCATTTTTCACATTTTTGCGTGTTTGATTGACCAAATTTTCTTGGCAATCCCCCTTTTCACCTTTTTGAGAAATTGGTTTTCCCATGGATTTGATGGTTTTTGGTTTTTCAATTTTTATTTTTTTATTTTGGCAATTGAAACAAATTCTATCATCAATTATAATAAATTTTATTCCTTTAATTGACAATTTTCATGGAAAACAAAACCAAACGAGTACTAAAAGATCCGAAATTGTAATATTTTCTAGATGAAAAATTATACCAATTAAACACATTTAATTGACAATTCTCAGTAAAACAAGTTTTAGGCAATTTAACTTCCTGAAATTCGTTTTTTTCCACCAAAATTCCATTTTTGCAATCAATCAGACCCTAATCGTGTTTCATAATTTTCCCCAGTTTGAATCCCTTTTCTGAAAACTTCACTTTCCCCAAATTTATTTTCAAGCGCACATTATATACTAAAATAATTTTACACGTAATTTCAAAATCTTTCATATTTTTTAGTCAAACATTCTTCAAAAAATTAATTACCTTTTTTCACAAAAAAAAAAATGAAAAGAAAAGAAAAGAAAAGAAGAAGAAGTGGGATTCAAACATAGACTTTATTTATTTGTTATTTTAATAAAAGGCTATAAAAGAATATTTATTTATTATTCAAGNGTTGTATCTGTCGTATCTTGAAAGATAAGTGTCATAAATCGTGAGCACCGTTGTGAGACAATATTGTTTTAAGGAAAGAGTGATTATCACTTGCCTCGGATTTCTTTCTTCTTCTCTTCTTGTTTCTTTTGTGGTTTGTATACCATAAATTCTTTTCCCAAATTTTGTTGTGTTTAATTATGCTCCTACGAATTATACCTTGTTATTTGGTTTGTTCATTACAAAAACAACCCTTTTCTTTCACTACCGAATACTTGATAATCTAAAGACAAAATTTGAGGTTGTTTTGTGGAAACAAACATGTCTTTATCTTTGGATTAGGCTTTACGGGCATTTCCCTTCTCATTATTTATGCGTTGAACTTCTGTTTGCATAATAGAAATGAACACTATTGAGGCTACTTTAAGTCGAACAACCAAAAATAATCACCATTAGGATAAAAAATGGTTAATTTTTCAATTTCAAATTTAGCCCCGTCAAAAAGTAAACTTGAGAAATGCCAATTTGTGAAACAAGTATTGTCATTCCCTGATATTGTTCCAGCTAAGCAGTCGCGTTTTTCGATAGATCTTAGGAGTATCATTTTTCTTCAATTTCTCTTTCTTTTCGTCAATTTATCATGACAA